TGACAAACATTTTTCTTCAGTAAACATGTGATTTGAACTCTGGGTGTCCTATTTGTTCTTTATTCGTTCTTTGCTACTTAGTGCGTTTATTCGTTTTAATTAATGAAGTGAGAACATCACAGGGAGTGGCAAATATGAACGGAAATTATGAACAAAATAGGGGAACATACATGCCGGAAACTGACAGCAATGTTGCGGACTTAGCGAATCTTTCTTCGGAAATTTTACTGTCCACATGCAACAAACTTAATGTGTACGCACACTCTTGCGAAATATAATTGCGAAAGCTCTCTTCATTCCGAGCGAGAATAGAAAAAGAGAATAGAATCTTTCGAGATACCGTGTCGCTTTCAATCTAGCGAAGGGTCGAGAGAATGTTTGAATTAAAAAATCAGTCCGTTGATTAAGCATTTCGTATGCATAATTTAAGATACCAATGTGCACTATTTGAGGGGAAATTGCCGAGGAGGTAGAAGTCAAATAGGATAGTTTGCTATGCGATGCGTGTGTAACAAACACATATCGTTTAAAATATACGTTTGTCAGTAGAAATGTCCCATGGTAGCAAAAAATGGATGTTTCAGTCTTTAGAAATCAGAAAGCACAGATCATTGGTTGCAAAATTTGGCAATCAATATGGGATACACTGGGCGAATGTTAATTTTTAGTACTATACGAAGATCTCGCATTGTCGGATACCAATCATTTAAATGTCTTAGACAAATGTATGTACGTTTATGGAGGAATCGTTTAGCATTGTGATTGAACCTTTTGAGTTGAAAAACAAATGGCATGTCAGTGCACTGCAAAGAGCATTGGTGAAGATGACGGTTTTAAAACCAAAGTAAAAGTCGAATGGTCGAAAAAGCTTGGCAAATGATAGTTTGATTTTTGGAATCCTGATAAATCACTATTTTGAAAAACGAATTGACGTGAACGGACGATGCGTGTATTATAAACACATATCGTTTAAAATATACGTTTGTTGGTAGAAATGTTCCATGGTGTCAAAATGTCCAATGAATGTTTCAGTCTTTAGAGATCGAAAAACAAAGATCATTGGTAGCAAAATTTTGTAATCCATATAGGAAACACTGTGAGAATGAGTAGCACTGTTCACTTTCACTATTATAAGAAGACCGTATTGTCGGATACGAACGATACAAATGTCTTCGTCAAATGGATGTACGTTTGCGAAGGAATCGTTTAGCATTGTGAGAGAAAATTTTTAGTTGGAAAACAAATGACATGTCAGTGGACTGCAGCAAAGAGCATGGGGAAAGACCACGGTTTTAAAACCAAAGTAATAGTCGAATGGTCGGTAAAGCTTGGCAACTTGAAAAATCACTAATGCAAAAAACGAACTGACGTGAACGGACGATGTGTGTATTACAAACACATATCGTTTAAAACATACGTTTGTCTGTAGAAATGTTCCATGGTGTCAAAATGTCCAATGAATGTTTGAGTCTTTAGAGATCAAAAAACAAAGATCATTGGTAGCAAAATTTTGTAATCCATATAGGAAACACTGTGAGAATGAGTAGCACTGTTCACTTTC